AGGAACAGAGGGAACAAGAGGAGGACAAGACAGAGACCAAGACAGCAGTCGACAAGGGAATCATGGCGTGGAAGAGAGCAAGAGCTTCGTTCCAGAGGACCTCCCGCACAACAAAAGACGGAGAGGCAGACAAGAAGAAGAGCTGCCAAAAAGTTGCTGCCAAAATGACGATGAGAATAGTGATGGTAGTAGTGGTGAAAGCAAGAAGAATGATAGAGAGAGCACTCCTAAACGAAGTCGAGTGCAGGGTGACAGTCTTAGTAGACACGTGCAGTTTTCTTCTGTTATTACTANTGGACATCAATTTGAGAACAGTAATTAATTCAGGGGTCGGGCTGACAGGCGGTGTTATTCAACGTGCGCAGAACCCAGGTGGGGAAACAAAAGGACCCATCTATAACAGTATTTTTGCCAAAAAAATAACTCCGCTATCGCTCCGTTTTTATTTTCGCACGCGCGCTTCGCGCGCGGAAAAAACTCCTATAATAAGCACTCACGAAGGGGTGAGGGGCTACTCGCGGGGCGACCGGTGGGCAGTTTTGGTTGTACAAGGACGGATGGATGCGGAAGGAAGGTTGGGAGGCAGCCACAACGTCAGGCTATACCTACCTCTTAGTTGTGCAAGCACCGATGATACAGGTTGGGGGGCAGCCACAACCTTGGGCCAGACCTCCTGGTTGTGAAAGCATCGATGATAAAGGTTGGGAGGCGGTCACAACCGAAGGCCAGACCTCCTGGCTGTAAGATTGTGTCGGTTCGACGGTCCGGGATGATAACTGTACTTGTAGTCTAGACTAAAAACGAATGCTTGATTTTTTTTTCTGGCTAAATAGACAAAAAACGCAACAAGTTCGTCTCCAATACAGGTATGTATGTATTAGACTAAGTGTAGATATACGAGCCCAGGATACGTTGGCACAACAATGCATGCTAAATGCACGCATACACGACTCAATTCGGAATTTTGTGTGTGTACGGGGATTCACGAGTGCTATGTGTGTACCGGCTACTGTATTACTACAGCAGCAGTGTACATCGGATCCCGTTATAAATCCCGCCACACAGACAGATGGGAAGAGGGGGTGGGGGGCATCCGAACCAGCGAGCTCTCTGAAGAATATACGAAGTACTATGGTATGGTCCGTCGTGGTCTTCCGATTCACTACAGTAGTGTTTCGACCAAAGTTGTGTTGACTTAGAGGCACTACTGAATCTTCACGTTTATGTTTGCTCAAGAATTCTGGATTATTTTTCTGCAGGCAACCAAAGAAAAACCCAAGACACATGAAACAAAGTGAGAGCGCAGGTAAAATGCCGTCTTGCTCCCAACGATATCTTATCGGACTAACCCGTTGCAAACTTCTCAAGATTGCCCTACTATCATTACTATTGTTTCGGATTCTGGCCAAAACATATCTTACTCCATTACGCATGTTCGATGACCTACTCCTCCGAACCGCTCCCTGGTCACTCCTCGGGTTCCGTAAGGGCCTGAGACACAACTTTGCTCCTTCACCCCCCACCCTAACATACACCATAAAAGCCGACGATTTCCACCTCCCGGCTCTCTGGATCTGAATCACCGACGCCCCCATACT